ATCACTCGAGTCCAGGACTTCGGGTCCAGCCTGGGCAACATAGCAAGATCCTGTCTCTAATTTAAAAAGAGAGAGAGAGAGCGGGCTCGGTGGCTCAGCCTGTAATCCCGTGCCTTTGGGAGGCTGAGGTGAGTGAATTGCCTGAACCCGCGGGTTCGAGACCCACTTGGGCAGGCGAGACCTCATCTCTACAATAAATAAAAAAATTAGCCGGGCGTGGTAGCGCGTGCCTGTAATTCCCGCTACTTGGAAGGCTGAGGTGGAAGGATCACCAGAGCCCAGCAGGTTGAGGCTGCGGTGGCCGGGAGCGGCTACTTCATTCCAGTCTGGGCGACAGAGTGAGACTCCAACTCAAAAAAAAAGAGAGAGAGAGAGAGAGAGGGCATGGGGGAAGAAGAAATAAAGGCCAGGGGTAAGACATGCAGGGAATAGTGACATTCAAAGGAAGTGGGGGAGCCAGGGCATTTTGTTGACAGAGAATACAATGTTAACATATATTTAGTCTAGATTCACAGGCCCTAGGAAGCAGGGCTTTGGTGTCTTTTTTTTTTTTGAGTTGGAGTCTCACTTGTGTCACCCAGACTGGAGTGCAGTGGCTGCTCCTGGCCACCGCAGCCTTGACCTGCTGGGCTCGGGCGATCCTTCCGCCTCAGCCTTCCAAGTAGCTGGAACTACAGGCGCGCGCTACCACGGCCGGCTAATTTTTGATTTATTGTAGAGATGAGGTCTCGCCAAGTTGCCCAGGCGGATCTCGAACCTGCGGGCTCAGGCAATCCACTCACCTCAGCCTCCCAAAGGCGCGGGATTATGGGCTGAGCCACCGAGTCCGGCTGGAAGCAGGGCTTTGGGAGAGGGAGAGGAAGTATTTGAATCCTTCAGGTGGATGGAATACAGTGCTAGGTAGAGGTGGGTGGCCATCAGGAACCAGCCTGGGGCATTGGGGACAGAGGTAATGGGGTACCTGGACCTGGAGAGCCATGTGGGAGGGGAAGGGGAGGGTGCCAAGACAAACTTTGCTCTGGAATTCCCTCCAGCAGGCTCTGGCTGGGCTCTCCTGAGGAGGGACTTTGGCTGGGGGCTGTCTGGGCCATGGGGAGCACCAGGTGGGGCAGAACCTGTGGGAATGGCAGCGAGACTCTTCCAGCGGGAACTTAGGGAGCTGCTGTCCCCCCTCCCCCCTCCACTACATTCCCATCCTGCTTTAGGAGCTAGCCTCGTCATCAGATGCAATCTATAAACATGACTCTGGGTTACTCTTTGCCCATCAATTAACTTAATCTTGGTGTTTGCTCTGTCATCTTTATACTTTGTAGATCTCTCTAATGGACCCTGAGGGGGTTCCGAGGACACTTGGAATGGAAAGATCAGGTCCAGGGGAGGTTGGGGCCTGGAGGCCATTGGGCCACAGGACATCAGAGTATTTACTCCCATGCCCGGTGTTCTAAGTTACCCAGTGTACAACTGCTCCACGCAGACTCAGCAGGACGCACAGATGTCACTTTCTCTTGGGCTCAGGCTTTCTGCCCTCTCAACGGCCCATCTTACTGGAAGGAATATAGCTGCCCTGTATTTGTGTTAAGATAACCTTGTATTTCCAAAGGGCAAGTGTGTTGTTGGCGGGTTCCTCTTCAGGGTCCCAATGTTCCCATAAGTGGGGAGTAGGGTGAGGCCAGGACCCTAGTCTTTTTCATCAGTGTGTAGAGAAATGGTTGTGCTTAAAAAATTGCTTATGGCTGGGCTCAGTGGCTCAGCCTGTAATCCCGCGCTTTGGGAGTTCAAGGTGAGTGGATTGCTTGAGCCCGTGGGTTCGAGACCCGCCTGGGCAACTTGGCAAGACCTCACCTCTACAATAAATCAAAAAAATTAGCCGGGTGCGGTAGCCCGTGCCTGTAGTTCCAGCTACTTGGAAGGCTGAGGCGGAAGGATCACCTGAGCCCAGCAGATGGAAGCTGTGTGGCCGGGAGCGTGCCATTGCCCTCTAGCCTGGGCAACAGAGTGAGACTCCAACTCAAAAATAAATAAATAACATAACTAAATAAATAAATAAGTTGCTTACATCTTGTTTTGTTATTCCCTATGCTTGGACTATGTCCATTCAGTCATTCATTCATTCAGCATATGTTCATTGAGCACCTACTATACATCAGAATACCTGCCCTCATGGAGCTTATTCTCTGTAGCAGTAATATTGGACTATACAAATATATTCATAGATATACATATTATTTATATATATTCAGATTGAAGAAAAATAAAACAGGGTAGCATGGTAAAGGACTAATCCAGGCATGTCCAACCCAAGGTCCGCAGGCCTTCTGCAGTCCAGACAGCTGGTAATACGGCCCCACAAAATCTTTTAACATCACATGTTTTCCAGCATTTATTTTCTGTAGGACCCCATGCTTATATGTGTATACACTATTATATATTGTATGTGCAGCCCAAGACAATTCCTCTTTACTTGCTGTGTTCAAAAGGTTAAGATACAGAGGGCTGCTATTGTCTGTCCATATTGCCACAGCCCCTAGAGAAGGGCATGACAAGTGTACTCACATTCCTGAGAATTAACAAAGAAGAGCATTTCAGTTTATCTCCTCCGTACTTGCAGTAAATAACTTCAAAGAACTCTTAACTTCCCTGCAGACTGTGCCCAATTAACTGCCAGAAATAAGTCTTCATTTACTCTCTTTTCTTAGTAGTCATACGTTTGAATAATATAGTATCAAGGTAATCATAAGTCATGCGATTCGTATAACTTTTGTATATAACAACATGTAGTAATGAATGATGTCTTAGGGCTTGTTAACTCCCTTCACTCGATGGCAAGCTTGAGTAACGCCTCTGCCTGGGGGTGTTTTTTTTTTTTTTTTTTTTTTTTTTGAGTTGGAGTCTTATTCTGTCACCCAGGCTGGAGTGCAGTGGCATGCTCACAGCCTCCCAAGCATCGAACTGCTGGACTCTGGCGATCCTTCCACCTCGGTCTTCCAAGTAGCTGGAACTACAGGCATGTGCCACCATGCCCAGCTAATTTTTTGATGATTGTACAGATGAGGTCTCGCCAAGTTGCCCAGGCTGGTCTTGGACCCATGGGCTCAGGCAATCTGCTTGCCTTGACCTCCCAAAATGCTGGGATTACAGGCTGAATCACCTGGTGTTGTTAATAAGAAGCTGTGGAATATCTCTGGTAACCTGTGCCAGGAAATGTGGATCATAAATGTCATTATGTGGCTGTGACTTAAGTTCTATACAGTGCTCTGCTAGCTGCATAGTCAATGTATAGGTACCAAAAATCCTGAACTTATAAAAGAGGACTGTAAAACCTGAAGGGTGAGCAGAACCATTTTAGAAAGGTCAGGAGCCCAGCTCTGCTCCCTGAATTCGAATTCAGAAATAAACTTCTTTCTGCCAGTTCCCTGCCTTTTGATTTATTGGTGTCAAGGAAGAGCAATCAAAACTATACTGGAACTGTATTAGTTGGATACCCTGGGCCGGGGTGATAAGACCTGACAACGAGGAGACAAGCCCCGTGGCTCTCTGGGGACAGAAGCGTCAGGCCAAGGGAAGAGCCAGTGTGAAAGTCTAGAGCCTGGGGTGTGTGTGCTGTGTTCAAGGCGGAGCGAGAGCAAGGAGGCTGGAGTAGAGCATAAGTGGAGAAAGTGGTAGGAGGTGAGCCAGGGAAGCAGCCAATGTGATGGAAGGAGCTTGAACTTGATTGTGAGCATGGAAGCTGCTGAGCAAGGGAGCATCCTGATGCAGGTTGTCTTTCTAGGGAGCCCCTGCCCACCCTGTAGGACTAGGAAAGGGGTTAGGAGACAGTTGCTAATAGCCACTAATCTAGGTGAGAGATGATTGTTGCTTGGACAAGACGGCGAGCAGTGGGGGTGGAGAGAAGTATCATAGAATCAGGCTCTGTTATGAGGGAAGAGCAACCAGAATGTTCTGACGGAAAACGATGTGGACTGTGAAAACAGGAGAGGTTAGAGGTACCGAGGATTTTGACCCTTGCAGCTAGGTGACAGTGGGGCCATTTACTGAGATGGGAAGTGCTGGGGAGGAGCAGGGTGAGGATGGCCACAGAGAAAGTGGCTTTTAGATGTGAGATGGAGACACGGAGAATGGGTGGTACTAGAGGCTACAGTGGTGGGTAAGACCAGGTTGCACACACAAATCTGGGAGTCCTCAGTATATGTTTTAAACGCCACAAGACGATCAGTTAAGAGCCAGACAGAGCCGGGCTCGGTGGCTCAGCCTGTAATCCCGCGCCTTTGGGAGGCTGAGGTGAGTGAATTGCCTGAGCCCGCAGGTTCGAGACCTGCCTGGGCAGCAAGACCGCATCTCTACAATAAAAAAAAAAAAAAATCAGCTGGGCGTGGTAGCGCACGCCTGTAATTCCGGCTACTCGGAAGGCTGAGGCGGAAGGATCGCCGGAGCCCAGCAGGTCGAGGCTGCGGTGGCCGGGAGTGGCCACTGCACTCCAGTCTGGGCGACAGAGTGAGACTCCAACTCAAAGAGAAAAAAAAAAAAGCACCCTAAGTTGTTTATTACTCAATGGATGAATCCTTCCAGGAGCATTTGCATTTCAAAAGAAATGTCTAGGGAGGATTATGCGTGACACAAATAAGTCAACCTTTAGAGGTGTCATTTCAGTCTCCATGACAAGTAGGGGAGGAAGGTGCTTTGGGAGATGGGCTTTCCTCTTTCTCAAGTCCTGTTCAAGTACAAGTTTGTTCTTGTCACTCTTCTGCTTGAGGCTATCCAGGGTGTTCCTGGGGCCCTGTGTTTAAGGTAAAATCTTCGGCTCAGCCTCAACAGATCCTGCCTCTTCTTCGCATCACCAGAGCCCACTCTGAGCTCTGCACTGGTGGACCTCGACCTGGCCCTCAAACTGTTGGAATTCTCTGAGAAAGCGGCATTTATGCTCAGAATTTAAGAATGAGTTGAAGGAGTGCAAAGGAAAGGCATTTGCTGTGGGACCAAGAGAGTGTATCTCTGTCCTCTAGGGCAGTGGTCCCCAACCTTTTTGGCATCAGATGTCAGGAGTCAGCCAGCTGAGCGGGAAGAGTGGGGAGCAGTGGACGGGCCAGGATACGCCAGTGGGAACCTGGCATGTGGGGCGGGGCCCGCGGGGGGTGGGGGGCAGGAGTCCAGGATGGATGGGGGGACGGAGGAAAGAAGCGGGGGGGGGGCTAGAGTCAAGGATGAGGGGGGGGGTGCAGGAAAGACGTGGGGGTGGCAGGAG